GCCACACCATGTGGGAAATTCCTTGCCTACCACCGTTTAGTATGCCAAAGGGAGAGTATACGTTAGTAGTCGTCAAAAAATGCACGCAGACTAGACTTGACGCTTTGTGACTAGGGTCCGTCGTTTGAGAAGAATACACTACGGCAGGAGAATGCAATTCGTGCGAGACTCATCACCTACTGTCAGACGACATAGTTTCTCTAACAATAACATCCAGTATACTGATACCAACCTTGATTGCTTTTCTTCTTCGATTTTTTATTACTAGCTGATCATCGCTATTACCCACGATTTTCCGAAATGTTGGCGTGAAAAATTGAAAACCAAGTTTTTTTGAGTTGGCGTAAAATGATTTAGTGTGATAACTAACTGGTATTACTACAGCTGTATAACTACGGTTTTAATGGTATGGTGTATATATGGTTAAACGCCTAAGTTTCTAAAGATATGAGCCATAATTTCAGGACGATATAGCAAGATATAGTGAAGTAGTGCCATCACCTGATCAAGGAAGTGCGGTTAATGATGACCTTCTACTCAACGATGGACCGCTGCTCAGGAAGAACGATAGAATGAAAAGAGATCGATGGACGGACCAATCGATCGATGATGAATATTTTCCATTTTTCTGAAAAATTTTCTATTCATGAATTCCCCATTTCATAAAAATAAATGATTAGCATAAACTCGAGACAACGAACAAACTTATGATAGTAGGGTAGCTCTCTAACATCAATCACTAAACACAAACATCTTCCGCGTTGCTTGAGCATCTTGGCCGACCGTACAAACGAGGACAATACAACACTCGGACAAGGTATAGAATAAATGCTTGTCAGACCACCAAACTCCCATGAAGCCTGCCTAAGGTAAACCACAGGGTTTAAACTTCTTCTCACATAAAAATAGCTTGGGAAGTTGCTTCCTATGGTAATTATTTCAAATAGATTTTTCATTTTACCCATCGTAAAATTTCTTGCAGTGACGATCTAAAGTTTGGGAGAAGAGGTAGATTTTCGAGGTGGATTCATTGTGAAAAACAACCTCTTCTTGGTTCTTTTTGTAATATTTTTAGAACTAGATTATGAACGTCAAATAGACAACAGATTTATTTTTGTATCTTAATGACTTTCTGATTTCTAATGACTTTCAGTGTTGCTACCTGAAGGTTTCTTGGGGGGTTTAATTCATAAGGGGAGTTAGTTCGAGGGGTTCACAGAGGCTGGTAAAGACTAAAATGAGATACCAAAAGATTTCAGTTTCCAGATGTCTGGGTGACGCTCCCATGACCTTAAAACGAACTTAAGATTTCGCACAATTCCATTGACTTTTACAAATCGTGTAGATTTTAATTAGGCATCAATGTTTTTCGAACGAATGTTCAAATTTTCAATAAACTTAATATTATGACGTCAGTCTTCGCTATCCCAGATGACAAAGAACTTAAGAACTACTCAAGTTTTTTATAACTGTCTGATTACTTAGCGTTGGAGCTTTCATCCGTTTACCAACATAATACATGTGGTGATTTCATCCTTATAATGAGGACGTCTGCGATCGCGCATTTCTGTATATCCACCGGATTTCTAGTGGTGTCGTGTTCATACCATTTGATTAGTTAAGGTTGCCGGTTAGCTGATGTCCTTTTGTAAGCACTTAAACCCTTCTGGAAGAACTACAGTTTTATCTGCTATATTGCTTTTAGTAACGAAAAAAGCGAAACTGTTTTGATTTTGGTTGGTCGGTTGGCTTCTTATAAGGTAAAAAATAAAATGAGACAGCTATATTTCTGGTATTGTCGTAGCCAAATCTAACGGTGTGTGTAACAATGTTGTGTGGATAATATATGAGGTTATAAGAATATGATGCACATTCAAAGCAATGGAACGAGTTATGATGAAACACGGCCACTACCTTAACAAGAGAATGCGACAAGAACTTTTGCAACTCCACGAGCAACTCCCGTGAATAGTGCCCTTTCACTCAACTACAGCATGCTGCTCAGGAGGAATGGGAGAAATAATTCGAAAGGAGATCAATGGTCGGATGGTGTTGGATATTGGCCATACTTCTTAGAACCTTCTTTCTCTCTCGGAAGTTCGATTCCAACACCCATTTGGGAAAGGCTAACTCAACACAGCCAATGTAATGCATACTTCGCAATTAACGATTAATTGATATTAACATGAGAAAACACATTAGTGATGTAGAATCACATTCTAACGCTGAATACCGGTCGTGCATATCTTCTGCACTGCTAGAACATCACAACTGTAAATATTATCTCTCTTATTTATAATGCAGTAAATTGGTGGTCGGCGTGCCTGTAAGTCCGTTCGTCGGTTTGTTCGCAATTAACGATTAATTGATATTAACATGAGAAAACACATTAGTGATGTAGAATCACATCCTAACGCTGAATACCGGTCGTGCATATCTTCTGCACTGCTAGAACATCACAACTGTAAATATTATCTCTCTTATTTATAATGCAGTAAATTGGTGGTCGGCGTGCCTGTAAGTCCGTTCGTCGGTTTGTTTCTCTGTCCATCCTTAAAATTTTATAATTGTGACAACAGTAGCGGTATAGGAAATCCAGCTCTTCTCTACTTCCCTTCTTACATATAAAGCAGAAAGTTGGTGGGTAGAATAATAGAGTAGAGTGGGTACCTGGGAGGGGAGTAACGGGAACTGGAAACTACAAAACAAAACAAGTGAAACTGTGAAACTGTGAGTGATTGATCTTAGAGGGCTACCCTACTATAATAACTTTGTTCATTACCTCAAGTTTATGCTAATCATTTATTTTTACGAAATGGGGAATTCATAAATGAGAAGTTTTTCAGAAAAATGGCCAATATTCATCATCGATCGATTGGTCCGTCCATCGATCTCTTTTCATTCTATCGTTCTTCCTGAGCAGCGGTCTATCGTTGAGTAGAAGGTCATCATTCACCACACTTCCTTGATCAGGTGATGGCACTACTTCACTATGGCTTGCTCTATCGCCCTGAAATTGTGCCTCAATCTATTGTAACTTATGTATTTATCCATTTAGCTTTATTAAAACCATAGTTATCCAGCCTTAATAATACCAGTTAATTATCACACTAAATCATTTTACGCCAACTCAAAAAAACTTGGTTTTCCATTTTCCACGCCAACGTGCTAGTCTCACTCATACTGCATTCTCCTGCCGTAGTTTACTCTTATTTATTTATTTATTTATTTATTTATTTATTTATGCGTTCCATGACGCGCTGTATTGCGAGTTTACTCTTCTCGAACGACGGAGTCTAGTCATGTAGCATAAAGTCTTGTCTGCATGCGCTTTTAGACGATAATCAACGAATATTCCCTCTTTGGCTTACCTATCAGTAATGGGCAAGGAATTTCCCACAAGGTGTAGCTTTGCATCATGTTAGCTATCTATTTCGAGTGGTAAGTGAAGAGACTCGAACTTACCCCGTTCAGAGATGCAGAAACCGACGCGGTTAAAAGAAGAAGAGCGAGTAGATACATCTGAAGTTGTAACATAATGAAATATATGGTTGTGAACTGCCATGTGACTTAATTAGCCTTGGGGTCATGAGCCTCTTGGAGGAACCAAACCTCGTGTTTCTGCCAACGGTCCCTCTTTTTCCATCTTTTTGATTTCTTACCAACATAGGTTTGGAAGTTATAACTCCACCGAACTGCTTGTAGCTCACGACCCGAAAAAAGATCTCGCTTCTATATTAAGCAGAGATGGGATGAGGCAGCGAGTTGGAAGTATAGGTATGAGAATTTGAAAGCTGATAATTACAGAGATCGGAAGATTTCTTTGCAACATGGACTGAAGAATTGAATTGTAGTTAATGTGCAGCAGGAGCCCCACTTTTATACAACACCTTTCCCAGCACTGACTACTGTTCAAATAGAGTAAATATCTTATCTAACCACGTCCAGATTTGTTCAGGATGAGTATGTATACCATTACATGATGAAGAAATTCCATGAGAAAAAGGTGTCCACGGCTACGTACACATTCGATCATTTTTGGTGGTTCCATAAATAGAAGCATTCACCGTGTTTCTTTCATTACGTAAGCATTGCGTAAACAGGGAATCTGCTGCACAACCGAATAGAATGATAGGACCTGTAAATTACTTCACGTGTCTCTCTTGGACATTTTTAGCAAAAGTGTTGTGCAAAACCTTTTTTTACACTAGTTCTGGAATATTATAAATCACATTTGTTCTACCTACAGAGGCCGATGTTATTTGGTTTCGTCTGGATTAATATATCATCAGCATCATCATACTGAGCGAGAAAACAAATAATCGGTTCCTCACAAGCAGACGAAGTTTGTCATCCAGCTCTGGTGCCCTTCTGTTAGAGACTGATATCGCTCTCGGCTCTTTGATTGTAATGTACTGTTGGAGAAAAGCAGTAATTACAATAGCAGTAAGAATATTTGCATCACCTGGACTTTTTTGTGGAATGTAGCTGCTGTCCAAACAGGAAACGGTGAGGTTCGGAATCACTCTTTCAACACTTTGTGTTTATCGAAACGAAATTCGCCTCAAAACGGCATTGTATCGCAAAATCAACATGCAAAATTTTGGTGACTCCGGCGAGGAGGAGTGTCAGATGAACGTGTCTGAAAAGTTGTGGATGTTGAGTGCCTACCTGCGTTTCACTACCTGATAAATTTTTTACCGATTCAAGAGATTGTTGGAAACTGAACTTCGGGAAAAAGTTGTTGTGAACGGCTAAGTCGGTCCTTAGATGACTCCATACCTTTTTATCCTATTGGGTTTGACGATCAAGGGAGAACAGTAAATTTTTGGGCCATGTACCACTTTCCAAATAACCGGCTTCAATCAGTTGAAGTTAGGGCGTCCAATGAAGCAAGGTGAATGAGATAAGAAAGTTTATCCAGGCCTCCTTGTTCGAATTCCTTTGAACAAAGTGGGCTGAAACTTTTTGTATGTTAAGTGAACCACTCTTTGGGTTAGGCAAATGTACGCTGACTGCTGCATTCAATATTCAAATTGGAAACATTTTTCTTTTTCATTATTGGATGAGATTGGGTTGCCAGTTGAAACTATCGTATTGTAATGTTGTGGGAACGATCGATAAACAGTAAGTATTATAACTCTATCATCAAGAAGTTGAAAAGCAAGTGGTTTTTGCCATTTCATTCTCCTTGTCAAGTGTGATCAGTTTTGACACTAACCATCTATTACCCTTTATTGCTCCTCGTCACATCCTTAATCACAGATTCGAAAGCCATGGTATCACTGCTAGCAGAAAGCGCGAATACGACTTTTCGTCTTTTGATTTCAAATATTTATGGCACCGTATCATTTCAGGGCACCCACAGCCAACAGCGGATCCCAGGAATTGGCGATCATGTTCATCATCACGTTTGAAGCAAAAGCGAAATATGCTACTATATATAATTCGCTATGTATGTCTGTTAGCTTGTCGGTGTGTTGTGTGTTTGTGTGTGTGTGCCGGTGTATGTCCGACCTGCAATTCATAACTACTGTTCCCGTGTACCTATAGATTTCAAATTTTGTAGGAGTACGGGAGGTAGGATGGGAATACTTACGGCAAGTAGCGGGACCGAACTCCGCCCACAGGGAGGCGGGGTGTGCACAAAATAAATGGTTGGGCGGAATTCATAACTCCTGCTCTGTGGACCTGAAGAGTTCAAATTTGGTAGGATTATAGCTTTTCGTATTAACAGGGAAACCTCGCACAATGATAAGTGGTGTGGGATATGTTGGGATCGTATGTACTCGGTAACAGGAATTGATCATAACTGACAAGAGAAGATAGGGGCCTAAGAGACCAACTACCGATCAAAATCCTAACTTCTTCAGTATTTACGATGCAACTTTGACTGTTCAGTATGTTTCGTTCGATAATACGGAATGGTAGAGTAGGGTGACAAAAGTGAGTGGTGAAAACAGTGGTAGGAACCCATTGGTGGTACCACGCGAAGCAGATGAGAATTGTGTCCATTTCTTGCTATTACGACCGCTACCCAGCAAGGTTTGCGACTCAATGTAGGACCCCCTTTGTCAACCAGTTATCTGGCGGTCAATTAAGTTTCCTCGCAAATGATATCGAACAAACTAATCATATCTGTGTGAAAAAGGTCCATTGATACGACATGATAATGGTGGTATCCATCTCTCGAAACATTGTGCGTACCGCCCAAGGCTCTGTTTAGCTAACAGAATCATTATCGCGAGCAGAAGATTGAGGCTTCCAATTGAAAGCTGAACACATACTTACACTGAATATTATGTGCACTGCTCTGTTAGTCCCGCTTCAAACTTCGTGAATGGGAAAATATTATTTGTTCCAAAGGAGTGGAGTATGAGCCGATTACAGCAACTTTGTCGAAGGAGGGAAGTTCGGCGCTTGCCGGGCTAACGGACTGGTATCTGAATAAGCGGAAAAACTGCTTTTGGAAGGTCGTTCAGGTGGCGTCGAGACACAATAGTAAGCAAGAAGAGCTTCCACGGCCATCACTTCTCGAAATTTCTTCTATATTTCTTCTTTTGTGTTCGTCCTACTTGAAAGAGAGATCTGCCTTTATGGCGTGTTGACGCCACTTCTCCCGATTGGATACTTATTGTTAAGATGGGAGCGAATTAATTTCATGTCCTCAAGCAAGGTAATAAAGTTGCACTGCTTTGGTCACTCCTTATATCATTTTCGGGCACCTGGAAGCCGAGGCCGAGCTTACAGATACTGTTTTTGACTGAGCTTGGTACATGAGGACTAGTTTCGCGCACTTTATCACAGTAGGGGCCACTCCAGAATGCCGTCTCGAAGTAGCTCCTAGTATTGCTTCGTTGCTAACAGGGTCCAAGTGCGTAGCTCCGCCCGTTCTCATTTCCATCACCCCGCCGCAGGCTCGGACTCTGTTCCACTTCAACCGAGCTTCATCTTGTCGAAAAGTACGGAGTCCACTTTTGCCACTTTCTCTTTCCTCACGTAAAAGCAAACTTGTATAAGTATTCCAAGTTTATTTGGAAGACATTGTACAATCTTTGTCAATTTAGTTGAATATCTGAAAGCTAAAAGATGCTGATTCTGTAATCATTTCACTGGCTTCACTCCATTCATAATCCTAACATCGATTGCTGTCAGTATCAGTTTTGCCCTGGAATGAATCGTTATTGCTGCGTACCAAGTACAAAATGCCAAAAATTCATCTAGAGAAGTGATTGCTCCACTCTTCCGAGGGAGTATTAACCATGATTGATGACACACAATTCAAATTCAATGGTAGGTTCATCCTCTTCTAGATGCCGCTTGTAGAGCATACTTATAGAAAAAAAACTGGGAATACAACCAATGACATACAGTAGTGCATTACACTTCAGTATCTCCAAATGCGCACCACCTCTTCATCAATGTCCCCTTAAGTTCCCCTTCTGACCGAGCTGTGCTATAATCGCAAGAGTTGAGAAAGGCCTGAGCAATGGAATCCAAGCCTTCATTGGTGGGAACGGAAGACGTAGCTCTGGCTAGCAGTTCCGATCTAAACTGAGGGGTTTTGCGAAGGAGATGTTTATTGACTCATTGCTTCTGGATATTATCTGAACTCAAACAATCAATTATTGTTCTAGGGGAGTTTGTGTGCGTCCACAAGCTATAGAACTTGGTCCAAACTTATATATACTTCGGTTGCTGCAATTTTTTCTGAGGTTTCATTGTCAGCGATGTTTCCAGTCAAAGTCAAACATTTCTTGTAATCTAGATAAAGACGTTTATTGATGCTTATACCTCACGTCGGACTATTTCCGTGGTTCTTGTTGTCGAATTTGAGCTGATACCGCCTTTTTTGCCAGCTGTTATTCCGACAACAAGGCGTCCTGCCCCTTTTAATTTCCAATGAGTAAGAGGCATTTCTTTAAAGCAGAGTATAGAGTCAAGGATCAGCTGTGAAATCCCAATGTGGATCAGTAAGCAATTCCCTGAGCCCTATTTCGTAGAACCTTTTTTCGATTTGTATGCATGAAAGTCAAACTGGAGATCGTGCTAATGCATACCTTGGGTCTATCTTCAGTACTGATGGTTTCTGGTGCGGCCTGGTACCGAAACAAAAGAAGTGAAGAGAAAATTTTGCATTTTTGCAAAAAAAAATGATAAAGTGTTTCCCTTATTGGCTTGTATTAGATCTCAATAGCAGTAGCTTTAGCTGATGCCTTTCTCTCATTCCGTTCTCATAATTCCGACGTAATGGAGTTGATACAGTAACCGAGCTCGAAATGAATTGTTAAGCAGCAATCAGTAGTCATACTTCAAAACATCTTACGTGAGATAGCGCGATGTAATCTCTTAGATTCAAATCTCTCAGACACTACCCTTTTCGATAGTTTTGATGATTAATCATTGCGGAACCACACAAAGTTTAAAAGGAAAAAAATTTAATAAGTACCCCTTTGAAGATGTATGGTGTGTTCTTCAACCAATCACTGGAACAAATTGCGTTGTATGTAGGTCGAGATGGTGGATACGGATGTAAAATCTCGTAGATCAGCGTTCTCACTTGTACACTGAGCTCAATCTTCGGGAACCTGAGCAGTTAGTAGATCGATCTCATCATTGAAGATTGACAAAGAAGTTACACAATACATGTGATTCAAAGTCTAAAAGGCGTCGATCAATCCCGTATGAGGGATTCACCCACGCATTCGACTTCCATTCAGAATCGTATTGGCGTATTGAATGCGTATGTGGCCTATACAATGACTTGCGGTGACCAGCCAACATACAAGTCAACGGTTTTATCTTCCCAGGCGAGTCTACTGCCTGTTAAGCGACCTGGAGGGATGGAAGGCTTATTTGGACTAGGCAAGTACCGAAATGGGACTCGGACCTGTGGCCATGCCTGTGTGAAGCGCGCCGCTTGTCACTACACCACACCTGCCCCAATACTTGTGTATTCTTATGAATCATTGATGTGAAGAGAGATAGTGCAATAGCGCGCTTCTATATGTCAAGAATCTCGAACGATTCTGTGGGCACATCAGAAATCGCTACTAGTTGATGTTAGTAATCTTATTTTCGGCCTGTGCTTTGAATAATGAGGGATGGGATGTAGTATTCTAATGTACTACTTGTTTTTGGCACAGTTAACCATCAAAATGGTTGCTGAAATTTCCTTTCATGATGAANATGAATCATTGATGTGAAGAGAGAAAGAGCAAAGTGGCGCGCCTCTATATGTCAACAAACTCGAACGATTTTGTGGGCACATCAGAAATCGCTACTCGTTGATGTTAGTACTCTTATTTTCGGCCTGTGCTTTGAATAATGAGGGATGGGATGTAGTATTCTAATGTACTACTTGTTTTTGGCACAGTTAACCATCAAAATGGTTGCTGAAATTTCCTTTCATGATGAACCTGTGGCTCTCAAGGATAGTATGTGAGACATTGTCGGGTTGAAAAACGACAAGGCGTCAAGGGCCCCAAGATTGTTCTGTTCGGCGTACATTCCCAAAAAAGGCCGTGCTGCTTTGTTGAGGCTGCACCATTCACAGTGATGCATTATGGCGCTGACAGATAATACCCTCCTTCGAGGAACATCCAGACGTTTACAGGCCCACATCCGCCCCCCCC